TATGTATTTGTACGTATTATGTATGTGTGTATATATGTATTATGTGTTGTTCCCCATTGGTTTGCTATTATAAATTGTACTATGACAAACAGATAATATGTGTCTACTTCTGTTTTTTTTTCAGTTTTGTTTCTTAAAATCTTATTAATTTTGCTGAGTTATTCGGTGCCTTCTTAAATTTCGCCTCTGAGCTGAGTGCCCCCCCGACCTACCCTAGACCCAGCTCCGATTCACTCCACTTTGCAAATGAGGAAATGAGGGGTGAGAAATGAAAGCTCTTGCTTAGTGTCACACAGCAGTAACCCTCGGCAATGACATTCACATCTGGGTAGGTGTAACTCCAAAACCCTGTTTCTTTCTACTAGGCTATCTTGGTGCTTCGCCCTGGATTTTTGAACGTGGGTGATGAGGAGAGAGAAGAAATTGTTAAACAGAACTGAGGGATCCCAGAGGAGAAGGAGCCAGTCCTTTCCGGGGTGTGGGTGGTGGCAGTTTAATGTGGGTTTGCACGTTGATTCGGGGGCTCAGGGAGGGCAGACACGTCCACCGAGGGGTAGCAGCAGGCAGCTGGATTCAGGTCTGGCTCGCAGGAAGGAGTGTGACCGAGTGCATGAGGGTGCGGACTCAGCGTGCAGGGGAAAGGAGGGCCAGGGCACACCCACCGAAAGCTCTAGGGCGCATCTAATCTGGGGGCCAAGGCCAGGTTAGACCCAGTGTTCCCGGGGATGATCATATGTGGTTGGGTCATGATTCTGAGCCCACTCACAGGCACCTGGGCAGGGTTGGGAGCTGACACTGACCACAGGAGCAAAGGGCTCACTGCGGGTCTGTAGAGGCAGCTTGGCTGATGAACACAGGCCCAGACCGCCAGTGAGCTTCATGGCCAAGGGGTCTCAGCCACTGGCCCGGGTGATTTACTTGCACTGGGCACAGGAGGCTCATTCTGGAGGAAGTGGGACGTAACTCTGGGCGTGGCAGTGGGACGAGTTGTCTCCTGCTGCAAACACCCGTCTCCTCTGCCATGCCCGGTTGCATTTTCTGTCTTCAGGCCACTTCCAAGGGCAGAGGACTAGCAGTAGGTCCATTCTACTCTTCTCTCTTCTGGCTTCTGACCTCACTGGAATCAGACACATCTTAGGCAGTCAGGAGGGAGCTGAGGGGATTCGGGGCAGTTCTGGCCCTGGTTGCATAGGGGGCAAAGTTGTCCTGTGAGAGCAGTGCAAACAAAGATAGTTTAGGGGGCATTTGGGAAGTTGGAAGAGGTCTGGACAATTGAAGCCTGTAAGAGTTGAATGAAAGTTGGCCGAGTGGCTGTGGATGGATGGAGCAGAGTGTGGTCTGGCAGTGACGGGGTAGAAACAGAGCATTAAGTGCAGGATGGCCTGGGGCCCGGCAGATGAGGCAACAGGACAGGGGGAGACGTGCGAATGCTATGGGGTCAGGGCCAGCTGTGGGCTCCAGGTGGGCTGGCAGGGCTGGAGAGGAGGGCAGAGTGGAGGGTGGGGAGATGGCAGCATAGGCTTCCTAGGCTTGAGGGATGGATGTGGATTGTGAGGGGAGGAGTGTTGAGGGAAGGAGATCAGAGCTGGGGATCTGGGAGAAGGGGCGGCGGTGAGTGATAACAAATACTGAGGCCTGGTTTTGCTGGAAGTGGCTTGAAATGGGAAAGGAGGAAAGCCAGGGAGGTGGAGGGTGTGATGATGGACAAATGATTTCCCATTGGGTGGAATTCTGTCCAGACAGACGGCTGAGAGGTGATGGTGGAACTGCTGATCGTAAAGACTATGTTGAGGCCAAACCTGGTCTGTCCTCCCTGGCACCAGGGAGTCTGTGAAGGAGACTGGTGCCTGCTGGGCAGAGCACGTGGCCATTCTGTAGCCTAAGGGAAGGAAAAGAACATCAGCCTTGATGAAACACCCTCTATGCTGCTGGCAGTATAGGGACTTCCGCACACATGGCATAATGTAAATCTTGTAATGACCCTCCAAGGTAGGTATTGTTGTCCAGTTTACAGATGATGAAATTGAGGCTCAGAGAAGTGAAATAACTTGCCTAAGTTCACACAGTGAGTGATAGTCAGAACTGGAAGCCAGATCTATTTGGTGCCAAAATCAGACTCCGTATGTAATTGTAGCACAGGTCAACTCCGTTAGATCCATCAGGAGGCTCAGAAAATCTACAGGGAAGAGGTTACTAGTAATGGTGGGGACAGGAGTTAGTTCCATGAGGATGAGATGCTGATTCAGTCCCAGGTCCCCAGAACCCAGCCCGCTGCCTGACACATAGTGAATGTGTTTCAGTAAATACTTGTTGAATGAATGAGCTCATCCACTCAGATCAAGGAAGAAGGAGGTTCAGGGAGCTGAAGTCCTATCAGTCTTTAGGAATCCTAGTGGACGGTGGGCTGAGGGGGTTTATAAGTTGTCTAGGTGGGCTTCAGAGTACGGAACCACTTTTAACCAGGGGATGTTAGAGAGTCGGAGTTGACTTTGGAACTGCAGAATGTGGACAAGGACGCAGAGGGCTCCAGGAGATGTGGGCTCTCTGTCCACAAAGGCTAGAGCCCTGGGTTGGAGCCTCCAGTCTCCCAGGAGGATGTCAGCCTTGCCCCTTGCCCTCTGCTTGCCAAACTCCACAGATTTGGCCTCAAGAGACTGGGGGAAGCCAGCCTCCAGGCTTTCTTCCCAAGGCCAAATTTCCCTCTTCCCCCGTGTAGCCGGAGATGCCCAGGGAGGCTCATCCAGGGCACATGGCTGCGTCCACTCCTCCAGGTCTTGTAAATTCTATCCTTCAACCAAGAAAGCTACCAACTTGGACCAAATTAGTAACCGTTAGTAACAGAAAAAAAAATCCCTTATAAAAACCCCCTTCTGAGAAAGTGATTGTGGACGTCTATGCTAAGAAAAACTTGGTTTCCTATTGAGGAACAGCATTGAGGCAACTGAAATTACAATGAAATAAGACAATGCACTAGATTCTCTGGTCATACACGAGGACCACTAAGCTGCTCATGTTTCCCTTTTTGCTTTGGCTTCTAGGAAATTCACCTGCGGCAGTTACATTTTTCTTTACAATTGGCGTATTCCTAGGCTTTTTTCTTAGCCCTGATTTTCTATTTCTGTTTGCATTGTTTTATGTCACTGTAAATTCAGTTGCTTCAATACCTTGTAGGAATAAAATAATTAAATGCAGAATAATAAATGGAAGTGAAGTGCCTCCTGTGTCCATCAGGGCGGAGTCTCCTTCAGCAAGGGCAGTCGCTGGCCCTGCTGGGCACTGCCGGTGGCCACCAGGTGGCACCAGAGCTTCCCCTAGAGCCATCCTTAGCCAGGTGATCTGGCCTGAAAGTGGTTTTGTCTAACTGGCCTTTTCTTGGGCTGTGTTACACGTGTTTGGAGTTGCTCCTGTCCAAAATGCTCTGAGTTTAGTTCTACGGACCAGGCAAATCTGATGTAAGGGAGCCTGGCTGGCTTCTTTCAGATGCTCAACTTAAAGATCAATGTCTCAAATAAGGTGGGGCAGCTCCGAACCAGACCAGGCCGATTGGGGGTGTGCCTCCCTTAGGGGGGCAGCTCCCTTTCCCACACCATCCGGGGCTGTGGGAGGTGGGGCCCTCATCACAAATGGAGAATTTAGGGGGTGTATTTCAGGCACGCAGGGAAGGGGCCTTTTCAGCTTTCCCAAGTGTTCCAGTGACTTCTGTCTGAAATGAACACCCTGCTCCTAATATTGGGCACATAACTGGACAGCCGTCATCACACCTGTAAAATAGAAACTGAGGGCTGAGCAGACCCAAGTGTTCTGACGTTACCATTAACGTGTGTCTCCGCTACTCGGAAATTATGTCCCCTAAAACCATTTGGTGTCTAGGCCTCTATGCCCAAGACTAGAAAAAAGCCTTCAGGAGTAGTAGTTGGAAGAACATAACCTATAAAATCTTTATACTCAGGTTTTGATCCTCCAAATCCATGTGTTAAAGTAATCATGACAACGTTGTTTCCTTTGAGAATCTGTTTTTATTCATGTTGCTTTCTCGTGTTACTTTCTCAAGCCTCTAAGGGGATCTGATTAATTGTATTTCCAGGGAATTAAAGAGAAATCATGAAGGGGCATGTGTGTCCAGACCAGGAACATGGCGCAGTGTGGCCCTGGGCAGCGAAGGGGAAGGTGGCCCGCCCAGCTATTCCCACTGCTCTTTTAAGTTCAGACTTGGGCTCACTGGCCAGAATTGGTCATTGATACCATTCTGCGGGTTTGTGAGACAGAAGCTCTTAACAGTCAGGTTTTTAAGAGCAAATCATTCTAGGAATTCTATGAGTGTACTCAGGTGCCTCTTACATGATGGACTGGAGAATTCATTTATCTATAGAAAGCCCAGTAGGGGGAAAGGAAGTACCTGTGTTTATCCTGATTTATGTGGGGTTGAAGAGATCAGCCTTGGGCTCAAGGGTCTTCCCAGTGCATATAAACATTTGGTCCCACCCAGAAGGCCCTAGACAGTGCAGCCCAGCGGGCTTCCATGTGACTTCTTCCCTGTCCTTGGGTCTCAGGGCACAAGCAGCACCCAGTGCTACAACCCACTTTGTACAACAGACATCAGCCGCCCCCTCCACCATCGCTAAAGTCTCTTCAGTGGTTCACCACCCTCCCCCATGGCAGACACAGCTGGGGTGACCCAAGATCACTTCTGTAGGGCTCGACAGGTCAGTTAGGGACCTCTGAGAAACATCTGGTCTTTAAAGCAGAAACTAGATGGTGTGTAGGGTGGGCCACGGTGGGGCCGTGAGCAGTAATTTGGGGAGTCCTACTTGGAAAAGAGTCAAATAAGGGATAGGCTCTGAGCTAGACCAGGGTACTTACAAACACAGCCCCCAGGGCAATGCTGGGGGAAATGCAAGGTAAGGAGAAAAGACATTTGGTGACAAACTAGGGCTAAAATCTAGATGTCCTCCATCACAGAGCTGAATCCAGGAGAAAAATAATTTTTGAGACGACTTTAGTTTTTTTATTGAACAAATTTATTGAGCACCTACAGTTTGCCAGTGTCTATCAAATGATAATAATCCAAGGGAGTCAGGATCTGCCAGTGGGTGTCGGGAGCTCTCCTGGATGAGGACAATGCTAGCAGTAGGTCAGAAAAGAGAGCTATGCCCTGTCTGTAGTGTCTCTGTGACTCCTCTATGGACTGACTGCCGCCTCTGACCACAGCACAGAGGGGAGCGCCTGAACGGGGTCTGTAGTGGGCTTCCCTCTCCTCCTCCCCTTGTGTTATAGGGACATCTTGCATTTTCTGCTTTGGAAAGGGGTCACTCAGTTTGGTAGGATAGACTGCTGGATGCGGGGGAGGGTGGGGGCTGGGCTGTTCAGTGAGAAAAGGTGGACCAGAGCGCATCAGAGTTGGGCTCTGAAGTATCTGTAGGGGGTGCGTGTGAATGTACTGAACTAATAAGGGTCCTGATGAAGGGTGAAGATGGGAGGAGCCATCCACTTGGCTGTTGGTCCTCGCAGTGGCTTGTGCAACTCCTGAGCTTGCCTCTGCTCCTTGGGGGCTGTGCAAACATCTCTGATTAGCATGTTGCTCTGAGTTATCAGATACTGGCTGTGAGTCACATTTCCGAGCAGAGGGTGGCCAGCCACTGGCTTTCTAGAAACCATCTCTGCAGAAAGAAGCCCCACACTGCCCTGAGCCCTGTGGTTCTGTCATCACCAATGTGGCCCCAGGAGCACATTTTCGAGGTCTCGGGCAGCAGCAGAGGGCTGCAGACCTCCATCCTTTACCGTTGACTGTGGCTGAGATCTCAGATCAATCCCAGTCGAGCATGAGGTTAACAAACTAGGACTCTTGGGCCAAATCTGACCGTCCACCTGTTCTTGTATATTAAATTTTCTTGAAACTCAGCCACTCCCATTCATTTACATATCATCCGTGACTGCTTTCACGATGTAATTGACAAAGCTGAGTGGTTGGGACAGAGACCATATGGCTGGCAAAGTCAAAAATATTTACTCTCTAGCCCTTTAAAAAAAAGTTTGCTCATTCTTGGTCTAGAATTATAAAAGACTGAAGTCAGAGCAGAATATTGTCATTCGGAGTCCTAGAAAATCCAGAATGTTTGGAGTAGACTGTAAAGTCCTCATTACAGGGACGTCAAAGACTTGAGGCTTCAACTCAAGTTTGATGACTGGTCACGGCTGCCTGGAGGGTTGTGTTGGAGAATTCTGAAGCTGGGTCAGGGCTGGTGTGGGCGCTTCCAGGGCAGTGTAAAATGGGCCATGAATAATTCTGGCAAGGAGCACCAGAGTGGGAAGTGAGCGAGGCGAGCCCACGCTCTTCTTCCCCAAAGGTGTTCAGCAACCAGGGACAGCTCGATGCTGTCTCCAATGCCAGCACTTGGCACTGCTGAGGTTGGAATTGTAAACATACCCTTACTGGAGTGGGAGAGAGGTGAGATTTAGGTGCTGTACGTGTTGCAACAGAAGCAGGCAGGAAAAGCCAAGGTCAGGCTGGAGTCCAGCTTTAGTGAAGGCGCCTATCCACTCAGGCAGCATTGCTGGTTCAGGACAGCATTTCGTGTAAAGCTTCCCGTTTGGAGAAGGGGGGGTCATTTATCAATCGGTGCAATCAAAATGCCAGTTGAAACTGCTAGGAGTTATTTAAAAATGAAAAAGGATGTGTGACGATGCATGTTTCCTGGAGAAAGCAGTATAAAATGTGGCTCCAGTCACTTATATAGATATATATGTACAGCCCTTAGGATTGTGGTTTTAAAAATGGAAGCATCTTAAGCATACTATGTCTAATATCCTACTAGTCTGTAACTCCAATGAACGATTCTTCCTCAGTGATCCAAAGAAATCCAGGCAGTGGAGTCTTCTGTTGACCTCCATTTGTTATAGTGAATGCGTTGTTGATAGGTGTTGGCAAATTTAGTTTTTGAAACTCGAATCATTTTAAATGCACCAAGAGTCTGTTACGCGGGCTAAATCTTTACCAAGCACATTAGCCACTTTTGCATAAATCCAGATCCGACGTCACGTGGCATCAAAGTGAGGTATGACTATAGTCTGATATGTTTACTGTTTTATCAAGCTGACTCCTTTCACTGTAACAGTCCCTGGAAATTTTCAGGGCCACTGCTCCCTGGTCAGGTGGATACAGATGGACACTCCAGTAAGGTGGGCATGAAGTTACTGTGCACTAATCTTACACAAGTCAGTCACGTGGTATCTTTCTCACATCAACATTTTGGCGTTGTTTATCCTTCACAGCATGAAAAACTGCCAAATCAGCTCCAGCTGACTAGGTTTTCTTTTCATTTCAAACAATTATAGGAAGCATTTAAATAAGTGTGCTAAACCCAATCCCAAATGGAATTGAGTATTCAAAAAATATATTTTATGACTTACGTTTGTGGAGAATTTATTTGCATAAAAATCCCAGTAGTTTTCCACCAAGTCCCGAGAAGTGTACCACCTCTCAAGTAGGGACAGATGGTGTCAAATGTGCTAACGACCCCGTGAGACAATTAGATTCTGGAGGGACCTGGGAAAGCGGGGCTGAGAACACGGGCGGCGCTTAGACCCTGGAGGATCAGGGGGAACCTGAGGCTGTGGGTCTGAGACAAGGGTAGAGAGTGTTCAGATGTAGAATTCCTCTGCATCATTGTCCCCGGGGCGGCCCGGCGCTGGAGGTGGCGGGGCGCCTCTGAGAGTCTGCTGGGCGTCAGGAGTATCATGAGGGCGCTCCGGGGGTGACTCTGTGGGCGAGGAGGCATCAGAAGTGGGGGGAGCGGCTGAGGAGCTGGAAGGCCCTTTGGTGAGGAAACGGAGGGCAGCCCAGGAGGTGTCTGTGGCCACCCCGCCCCCAGTGGGCAGGGGTCCCTCTCTGGAACCCCTGTGCTCTGACCAGAGGCTGTTGCATCTTTCCAGGGGGAGCAGGGGTTTCTGCGGGGCTGCAGAACCTGCTGGGTGCAGAGTAGGCAGAGACTACAGACAGGTCGGAGGAGGAGAGCCGCAGCCCGGTGTCCACGTCTGTCTCCTGGGCCCCCTCTAAGTCATCGATGGGGTGGCCGTGCCTCTGCTCCGCTGCCCTCTGCCCCGGGCCGCCTGGCTTTGAAAACCACTGTGGTTGCGCAGATGAGGCCGGGGAGGGGTCTCCTGTGGGCAAACAGAACAAGGACTTGCTTCTCTGGAAAGACCAGGGGAGGCTGGGAGGGCTGCTGGCTCGTCTGGCAAATTCCTGCGTGTGCCCAGTGGGCAGGCTGGTCTGGCGGAGCCCCGGGTGTGAGGTGTCTGGCGGGGGCTGCGGGTTGCTGCCAGGGGTCTGGCTCGGGGCCGTGGCGCTTGGGGACAGCGTGGAACCAGGTTTCTGCTCGGAGGCGTGGTGAGCTCTGCTGGGTTTAGGACACTTTCTGTGCATCCGCTGTGCCTGCCGGAGTAAGGGGGCATGTCACATTAGCAGGACTGGGGGTCACCCAGGGATGGAGAGTCACAGTTAAACACAGCATGAAACACTTTCTGATGATTGGAAACTCCCATTGCAATGTCGCAATGAAGCATTACCAAAAAGTTCATTCTCCAGACTCTAAAGCAAAGACAGAGGGAGCAGAGCCTGGGGGAATACGGATCAGACTTCTCAGTCTGAGGAGACATCCCAGAACCCAGGAGGAGAGGCAGCCCCTTGTCACCACAGGGAACAATACTTCTCCCAGGACACATGCAAGGATGCTCAACAGATTGGCCACAAGCACGAGGGCCTGGCTTAGCAGGATGGGGGATGTAAGGATTACCATTATGTGCAAAACGGATGCTTGAAGGGTTTGATTGCCTCCAACCAGAGCCCCACGGTTTGGAAATGCTGTTGGACGGGAGGATGGAAGGATCAGGGCGGGGCAGGCACAGACAATCTCAGACCAACCCGGGACTTTATTCCAGTGCACGGGGGATCATCAGGACACATCCCAGGGCTGGCCTGTGATTTAGAGCAGTAAATCTTCAATGAGTGAGGGGCTCTCAGGAGATTAGCATTTATTTACTTGCTATTAGGAACCACCAACTCCTCTATTTTGGCTTTCAGAAACTTTATGGGAAAGGGGGCGGCTGACTACAGACTAACCCCACAGGTGCCGCACAGGGCTTGGACAAGCGGTTTCACCCTTAACACCTCATCCCTGTCCTCCTAGTCTACCCGACCCTCCCTGCAGCTCCCCAGGAATCTGTTTCTGCTGCACAGACTGGGGTCCTCTCTTCCAATGAGCATTCCCAATGCAGATTCTTCCTCTGGTCTGGCTCACTGAGCCTGCAGGCCAACCTGACTATGCAAAGTTTCAACTAAACCATGAATTTGGAGACAGTGGGTCTGGTTGTATTTCCTGTCAGATCACCTGATTTATGAATCCCTGAAATAAGGAAAGAGTTCTGAGTGCAATTTACTATAAGGGACGCTTCCTGGCTCCCAGCAGACTATATGACACACTGGCCCTTCCCTAGATAGCAAACACCCTGCCTCCCTGTTAAACAGGAGCCTGGTTTCCCCACAGCCACTTGGGAAGTTTTGTTCAATGTAATACACACTTGTTTGTACCTATTACAGGCAAAGGAGGGGAAACTACAGGGAGGGCTGTCTTCAACCACGTGAAACTTTTATTTCATGGATAGGAGACAAAAGGACTCAGACAAAAGAGTGACAATAGGTACAATAATGGGACTGTGAGGGAGAGACCACGCTACCCTGCTCACACGGGAGCAGAGGAGTCTTCAGTGGTGGTGGCCCCACAGGTGAGACTTGGGGATGATCAGCTGCTGTCCTAGTGGATGAGGTGGAGAGGAGGCCGTGCTGGAGAGAGAGGCCAAGACAGAAACTGACAGGTAAGCAAGGGACTTGCAGGGGGCGAGGGACAAGCAGTTGGGCTTGATTAGAGTCCACGTGCAGGAAGAGCAGTGCTGGGAAGTCAGGTGGGGAACGGAGTCTAGTGTTGGTTGAGGAGGCCCTGGCACCTGGTAAGATACCCACATACCTATCCTTCTGCTGGGGTCATATTCGGTCTTAATTATGTTTTTTCCCATATGACCATTCCTTTCATTGATTTCTTTTTTAATTAATTTATTTTGGAGGGAGTGTAATTAGGTTTATTTTTTTCAATGGAGGTACTAGGGATTGACCCCAGGACCTCATGCATGCTAAGCATGCACTCTGCCAATTGAGCTATACCCTCCCCTTCATTGATTTCTAAGCTCTTTCTTTGTCTAATTCCAGGTATCTCTTAATCCTATGAACAGACTGATTGACTCATTTTTTAGTTGACATTAAATGTGGGTCTTTTATGCAGAGCTCCTCAAATGGTGTGTTTTCTTAATTTCTCTTTCTGATAATTTGCTATTAGTGTATAGAAATACAACAGATTTTAATATATTTTTGTATCCTGCAACTTTACTGGATTTATTGGTTCAAACAGTTTCCTAGCACAGGCTTTTGGATTTTCTCTATATAATATTAATTTCATCTGCAAACAGTGACAGTTTTCCTTTCTTTCTGATTTTAATGGCTTTTATATATTTTTATAGCCTAATTGCCCTGGTTAGGATTGGCAATACTATGTTGAATAAAAATGGTGAGTTAGAATCCTTATCTTGCTTTTGATCATAGAGGTAAAGCTTTCAGCTTTCCACCACTGAGTATGATGTTAGCTGTGGGCTTATTATATATGACCTTTATTATGAAAGCTTTTTTCATAAATGAATGTTGAATTTTGTCAAATGCATTTTCTGCATCTATTGAAATAATTATATTTTTATCTTTCATTTTGATAACACGTGTATCACATTGATGGAAGATGTTGAACCTTGCATCCCTGGAATAAATCCCATTTGAACATGGTGTACCATCTCTTTAATGTATTTTTGAATCAGTTTGCTAACATTTTGTTGATGACTTTTGCATCTATGTTCATCAGGGATACTGACCTGTAATTTTCTTTTCTTGTGCTGTCCTTGTCTGGATTTGGTATCAGGATAATGCTGGCCTTGTGAAATGACTTTGGAAGTGTTCCCTCCTCTTCTACTTTTTGGAAGAGTTTGAGAAAGCTCAGCTTTAATTTTTTCTGTAAATATTTGGTAAAATTCACTAGTGAAGCCATCTAGTCCTGGACTTGTTTGTTGGGAGGCTCCTGATTGAATACTAGTAAGGAGGCTGAATTAGCAATCTGTTCAGGTTTTCTATTTGTTGATAATTCAGTCTTGGTAGGTTGTATGTTCCTAGGAATTTATCCATTTCCTCTAGGTTGTCCAATTTGTTGGCATTTAATAGTTCACAGTTGTCTTTTATGCTCCTTTGTATTTTTGTGTTATCCATTTTAATCTTTCCTCTTTCATTTCTGATTTTGAGTCCCCTCTTTTTCTTGGTGAGTCTAGCTAAAGGTTTGTCAATTTTATTATCTTTTCAAAGAACCAGCTCTTAGAGTCTAAAAAGACAAGATCAATAAAACTATTTTATTTATTTCTACTGTGATTTTTGTTACTGCCTCCCTTCTACTAAATTTGAGCTTCTTTGTTCTATTTGTAGTTACTTGAGGTATAAAGAAAGGTTGTTTATTTGAGAGCTTTTTTGTTTCTCTATGTAGGCATTTATTGCTATGAACTCCCCTCTTAGAACTACTTTTGCTATATCCCATAAGTCTGGTATGTTGTATTTCCATTTTTATTTATCGCAAGGTATTTTTTTCTTTCGATTTCTCCTTTGATCCATTGGTTGTTCAGTAGCATGTTTAATCTTCACATACTTGTGAATTTTCCAGTTTTCTTCTTGTAATTATAGTTTCATACCATTGTGGTCAGAAAAGATGCTTCATATATTTTCAGCTGTCTTAAATTTATTAAGACTTGTTTTGTGGCCTAACGTATGGTCTATCCTGGAGAAGGTTCCATGTGTCCTTGAGAAGAACGTGTATTTTGTTGCTTTTGGATGGAATCTGCATAATCTGTTAAGTCCTCTGGGCTAATGTGTCATTTAAGGCCAGTGTTTCCTGATTTTCTGTCTGGATGACCTATCCATTGGTGAGTGTGGAGTATTAAAGTCCCCTATTAATACTGTATTGTTGTCTATTTCTCTCTTTATGTTTGTTAATATTTGCTTTATATATTTAGGCATTTCTATGTTGGGGACATAGCTATTTTCAAATGTTATATCCTCTTGTTGGATTCATCCCTTTATCATTACAAAATGATCTTGTCCCTTGTTATAGTCTTTTTCTTAAAGTTAATTTTGTCTGATATAAATATACCCACCCCAGCTTTCTTTTGGCTTTTGCTTGGAATATCTTTTTCCATCCCTTCACTTTTAGTCTCTGTGCATCCTTACATCTGACTTGACTATCTTCTAGGCAGCATATGGATGCGTCTTTTTTTTTTTTTTTCTAAATGCATTCAGCCACTCTGTCTTTTGCTTGGAGCATTCAGTCCATTTACATTTAAAGTGATTATTAATAGGTATGTAATTATTGCCATTTTGTTAATTATTTTCGGGCTGTTTTGTAATTCCTCTGCTCCTTTTTTTTGTTCTCTTTCTTTGTAATTTGAACAGTCTATTTTAACCTGATAACAACTTAAGTGTGAGAAAGCACTCTAAAGCTCTACATTTTTCACATTTTGATGTCACAATTTACACCTTTAATCTGTGTAACCATTAATAAATTATTGTAATTAGTTATTTTACTACATTGTCTTTTAACCTTAATGCTAGTTTATAAGTGATTAACCCATCACATTTAAAACATTAGATTATATTGTACTATAAATTTACCATTACCAGGGAGATTCATTCTTTCATGTTTTTCTGTTATTAATTAGCATCCTTTTGTTTCAGCTTAAAAAAGTACCCTTAATATTTCTTGTAAGGTTGTTCTAGGGGTACTGAACTCCTTTAGTAATACATATATATATTAATATATATAATATATTTCTACTGAAGTATAGTCAGTTTATAGTCAGTTGTGTGAGTAGTGTTCCATTGTATAAATATACCACAGATTCTTTATCCAGTCATCTGTTGATGGACATTTAGGTTGTTTCCATGTCTTGGCTATTGTAAATAGTGCTTCTATGCACATTGGGGTGCATATGTCTTTTTGAATTAAGGTTCCCTCTGGATATATGCCCAGGATTGGGATTCCTGGGTCATAATTTAAGTCTATTTTTAGTCTTTTGAGGAATCTCCATACTGTTTTCCACAGTAGCTGCACCAAACTACATTCCCAACAGTGTAGAAGGGTTCCCTTTTCTCCACAGCCTCTCCAGCATTTTTCATTTGTGGACTTTTTGAATGATGGCCATTCTGACTGGTCTGAGGTGTTACCTCATTGTAGTTTTGATTTGCATTTCTCTGATAATTAGCAATATTGAGCATTTGTTCATGTGCCTGTTGGCCATTTGTATGTCTTCATTGGAGAGTTGCTTCTTTACGTCTGCCCATTTTTGGATTGGGTTTGTTTTGTTGTTGTTATTAAGTTGTATGAGCTGTTTATATACTCTGGAAATTAAGCCCTTGTCAGTCTCATCTTTTGCAAAGATTTTCTCCCATTCTGTAGGCTGTCATTTTGTTTTGCTTATGGTTTCCTTTGCTGTACAAAAGCTTCTAAGTTTAATTAGGTCCCATTAGTTTATTTTGCTTTTATTTATATTTCTTGGGTAGACTGCCCTAGGAGAACGCTGCTGTCAAATAATGTTTTGCCTATGTTTTCTTCTAAGAGGTTTATAGTGTCTTGTCTTATGTTTAAATCTTTAAGCCATATTGAGTTGATTTTTGTGTATGGTATGAGGAATATTCTAACTTCATTGATATACTTGCAGCTGTCCAGTTTTCCCAACAGCATTTGCTGAAGAGACTGTCTTTACTCCATTGTATGTTCTTGCCTCCTTTTTGAAGATTAGTTGACCAAAAGTTTGTGGGTTTATTTCTGAGCTTTCTATTCTGTTCCATTGATCCATTGCTGTTTTCATTCCAGGGACACAAGGATGGTTCAACATATGCAAATCAATCAACATGATACACCACATCCACAAAAGAACAAAAACCACATGATCATCTCAATAGATGCAGAAAAAGCATTTGATAAAATTCAACACCCATTTATGACTAAAAAAAAAAAAAACTCTTACCAAAGTGGGTATAGAGGGAACATATCTCAACATAATAAAAGCTTTTTGTGACAAACCTACAGCCGACATAATACTCAACAGTGAAAAGCTGAAAGCCTTCCCACTAAAATCTGGAACAAGACAAGGATGCCCACTCTCACCACTTCTATTCAATGTAGTATTGGAAGTCCTAGGCATAGCAATCAGGTAAAAGAAATGGATCCAAAATGGAAGAGAAGTAAAATTGTCATATGTGGATGACATGATAACTATATATAGAAAACCCTAAAGGCTGCACACAAAAATTACTAGAGCTAATAAAAGAATTCAGCAAGGTAGTAGGATACAAGATTAACATACAGAAATCACTGGTGTTTACACTAACAATGAAATATCAGAAAAGTAAAGTAAAGAAACCATCCCTTTTAAAATTGCATTCAGGAAAAATAAAATACTTAGGAATAAATCTGACCAAGGAAGTCAAAGACTTATGTGGAGAACTACAAAACATTGACTAAGGAAATTAAAGATGAGTTAAAGAAATGGAGAGATATCCAATGTTCTTGGATTAGAAGAATTAATATTACGAAAATAGCCATACTATACCCAAAGCAATATACAGATTTAATGTGATCCCTATCAAATTACCCATGACATTTTTCATAGAACTAGAACAAATAATCCTAAAATTTATATGGAATCACAAAAGTCCCAGAATTCCCAAAGCATTACTGAAGAAAAAGAAAGAAGCTGGAGGAATAACCCTCCCAGACTTCAGACAATACTACAGAGCTGCAGTAATCAAAACAGCATGTTATCTGTACAAAAACAGATATATGGATCCTTTAGCTTTTGATAATCTGGAAGACCCATTATCTCTCCTTCAGTTATTTTTTTCTTCCAGTTTTATAGAGAAATAATTGAAACACATTATTGTATATGTCTAAGGTATATAGCAAAATGATTTGATTTATATATATCAATTCAGTTCTGAAGGACAGCTTTGCTGGGTAGACTATTCTTGTTTTGCAGTTTTTTTTTCTTTCAGCACTTTGTATATATTTTGCTACTTCCTTCTGACCTGTAGTGTCTGCTGAAAAAATCTGCTGACAGTTTTACAAGGATTCCATTGTATGAGTTTTCCTCTTGTTGGTTTTAAGATTCTCACCTTGTATTTAAGTTTTGACACTTTAACTGTATGTAATATGTCTTAGTGAGGGTCTCTTTGGGTTCTTCTTCTTTGGAATTCTCTGGGATTCGTAGATCTAGATGTCTGTTTTCTTCCCCAGGATAAGAATATTTTCAGCCATTATTTCTTCAGATGAGTTTTCTGCCCCTTCCTCTTTTCTCCTTCTGGGTCCCTTATAATGCAAATGTTGGTCAGCTTGATGGTGACCCATAAATCCCTTAAGCTACCTTCACTCTTTCATTGTTTCTTCTCCAATTTGATGAGTTCCAGTGATTTGTTTACTAATCCTTTTTCTGCTAATCCTTTTTCTGCTTCATCTAGTCTGTTGTTAAAACTCAAGTGTGTTTTTCAGATCAGTTATTTCATTCCTCAGCTCTGTGACTTCCATTTGGTACTTACATGTTCTACGTTTTGGAGTTCCCACTTTGTTCGTCCAGTGTTCCCCTGAGCTCATGAACATCTTTATGACAATCATTTTGGACTCTTTATCAGGTAAGTCACTTACCTTTGTTTCATTAAGGTCTTTTTCTTAGATTTTATCTTGTTATTCCATTTGGAACATGTTCTTCTGTTCCTTCATTTTCTTTGACTTCCTATGTTTGTGTCTATGCACTAGACAAAACAGCTACGTTTCCCAGTCTGAAGTACTGGCCTCATGCAGCACACACAATTATTGTCCAACCTGCCTAGTTAGTTGTCTCTCAAATCTTTGTGTTTAAGAAGTCTGCTTTATTCTTAGTGGCTCCACGTACAGAAGGTGTTCCTAGACCTGTCAGTGTCCCAGAGGGGAGACCTAGACTGGGGCTCACTGGCAGCCAGAACCTCAGGCAGCAGCTGTTAAAGTAAGCAAGATAGACCTCTTTTAGGGGAGCACTGGGAGATGGGTGTTTCTGTGCTGGGCCTTGGGGTGTTAGCCAGTTAAGAACTATTTTTTTGTTTGCTACTGTCGCCTCACTGGCCACCAGAGCCACGCTATCAAAGGCTGTGTCCTCAGGGTGGCAGCCACAAACGCCAGGGCAACAAGTATTTACACAAGCATTTCTGGCGAAACTGGGAACTTGGGGCTGGGAGAGGGAAAGTGTGAAGATGGACAGCAAGACGACGACACTTGCTAGCTTCCCTGGTCTCCGGAGAGACTGTCCTCCCTAATATGTATGTTAGCTGTGGCCTGTGGAGCAGGCTTCTAACTGTGAACAGGCTTCTTGTATAGAAAGACTAGAGGCTTCAGTCTGTTGCCTCTCTGCTGGGCCCTGGGCTTAGACAGGACGCCTTTTCTATTTGTTACAATCCTGTGGGGCCTGTGAATGTAAGCCCTCCTCTCCACCAGAGCCTGGTGACCAGCGGAGTCCCCTGGGTGGCAGCTGCAAAAAGCAGGGCATGAAATGAGCGGACAGGGTTCTTTCTGGGAGCTAACAGTGACCTGGAGGATGGCACTGGCTCGGCTTTGTTTTGGACACTATTTCGGTAGGTCCCTGGTTATGTGGTAGGTTAGGTGTCTGCCCCTCAGCTGCCTGGTTGCTGGCTGCCTCTGCTCTGGGCCCTGGGGTGGGTGATTCTGCGTAAACCCTTTAAGAACTGTTTCCCAGATCACTGTAGCCCTCTCGGGCTTGTCCACGAGACAAGCCCTGATGGCTTTCAAAGCTAGATGTTCTCAAAGGTAGAGGTACCTGTCTCTCAGGAACAGGCCTTAAAAGTTGGGATTCAAACCCTTTGCTCCACAGGGAGAGGCCTGGAGTTGAGAGTCGTCCAGACTGGGGCACTGTGTGAGGTTCATGGTGACACTGTCTCAGTCTCTCCTACCCACCTTGGAGAAGTTGCTCAGCTAGTTTTTGGGTTTCCTTCAGAAGGAACTGTTCCATATGTAGCTTTAGATTTGGTGTCCATGGGAGGAGGTGAGTTCAGAATCCTCCTGTGTCACCATCTTGAAGCAGAACCCTGGGTTGTCTTTTTTGAATGGTTAGTAGAAAGAGAGGAGGACTTACAGGAAAAAGGCAAGATCACTCTAAAAGTAAACAAAGCTTGTGCACATTTTGTCAAATCAGTGACATTTCTAGGTAGGAAGTTTGAAAAATCTGAAAGGGATTCTGGCCATACAGGATGGTGGTTTAAGCTGGACAGTCATTTGTCCATTCTTTTCCTCTTTGCTGTCATGGAAGTATAAGACTTTCTGAAGAATCATCAGAGCAACATACTAATTCCATTCCTCATAGAATGAAAGACAGGGTAATACAGAATATAAGTAAAGTACTTCTCCAGAATTGGCAAAATGGCAGCAAAGTGGTAACTGTCCACCTGGACTGGCTTTCCACCAACAGTTACACACCATACACACCTCTCTGAGTAATCTTTCTAAATACAGACTGACTATGTTCCTTGGCAGAAGACTCACTAGCAAGCTTTACAACACCTTGGCTACTCCTTCAAGCTTTGTGTCTTTCTGGAATTGTACCCTGGATGCTCCAGCTACTTGGAACTACCATGGTTCCCAACAAACCAGGTTGGCTTATATCTCTATGCCTTCATGCTGTTCCCAACAACTGTCTGCCTAGAGAATACCCGCCCAGCTTCAGAGACCAAGCATGAGGTGATGCTGTGAGGTCTCATTTGACCACATCCCCTCCTTTGTGAACAAAATGCACTCCTTTCTCTTGGGCATATAACTAGGAGTCAAATCACTGGGGCACACGGTGAGAAATTTTTAGTTTCAGTAGGTACTTCCAAACTGATGGTATCAATGTATAATTCTACAAGGAATTTCTCCCAGGAATGTGTGGTATTTTAGTTGTTTC